TTTGCATCTGTCCTCGGAGCCCTTAATATTATGTTTTAAATAAATTGAGTCTTAAATACTTAACATGATTTTGCGTGCGAAAACATTAAGTTAGAAACAAAAGCTGTGAACAAGTGTCACATAAATCAAGCAACACTTAGAATGTGATCGATTCCAGATTTTTTTTCTTTTCTTTCAGATTAACGAAATCGGGGGGTAGGTGGGATAAATATTTGGAAAATATTGGTTTGTTATCTCGTCGTCGATATTGCCTACGTTATGACATTCTTTAAAAAATTTCATTAAAATTTAAGAAAAATTTAGAAAATTTAAACCTTAAATTTGTCTAGACAAAGTCCTTCAAGAAGGCAAAAATATAAAAGATTGTTGCTTTTTACCAATCATGAGTTTGTGTAAATTTTAAATCAGATGATGGTGCTGTTGTCTCGCCGAAACGTAATGAAATAACGATTTTCAAAATTTTTACTTTACACTTTGAGACCCAGGAAAGATAAGAATATCACAATAAGTACACGCAGTCAGGAAAATAAATCAGAATTGCGTGCGTTCTTGTTGAAAATTACTTTAATGGAATTTCGACAAAATTTTGATAACTCTTAATACAAAGTATTAAAAAATAAGTTTAAAAATTACGATGAGTAAACCATTCACACAACTAAAAACTCGCACCGCTGCGGCTCTAACTGCAGCGTCAGCAGTATCCTCCATATTGGCGAATGTAGAGAAACGTTTGAACCACAATTCAAAAGGAATTTTGCTTCAAGCATTCGACACACCGTGTAGCAGATAGATTTGCCGCACGAACCGCCGAACTTTTTGACTCAAATGTTCGGTCGAACGTTGGAACGAATGTTCGACGCATCGTGTAGCGCCGGTTTAAGGGGCTATCGAAAACCGTAAATTATGCAAAGTTGGTTAAATGGGGAAGAAGTTGTAAGCGAAATTTGCCTACGGAAGTGAAAGTTACAGCGACTGAAATATCGCGACAGCAATGCGCTTCACACTGCTACAATTCGTCCACGCTTTTAATTTTGGGACATTGTGAGCTGGTCGCCGTTGTTCCTAGCTTGTGGACACGATTGGGATAAAACCGTGCTTGAACGCAACATTAACGCGGCTATTGTCTCGAACGTGTATAGAAACCCTTCCGGGTTGCGCTACTTTTCGTTTGATCTGCCATAAAAAAAAGCGTTCATAAATGGTTTTCGTCGAACTGCCAGCGGACCCACGGCGCGTTGCGTTCACCCTTGACAATAAGAGCCTTTTCACACGGGCCACTCTGCATCGCGTCTCAGTGGCGCTGCTGATAAGCGCGCGTTAACATTGTACCAGCCACTGTAAAGCGCTTCTCGGTGGCACTGCTGAGAAGTTCACGTTAACCTGAAGCAGACTGACGTGGCTCGTGTGAACGCCAGCATTTGAACCAATGTATCGCTATCAGTGGCGCTTCTTTTTGACGCGTTTCTCGGCGGTAGTCAACCGCTGAACTCCACAGAAGCACTGCTAACAGAGACAAGTTCAACAAAACATTATGCTTTCGAAATAGAGGAAAATAACATTTCAATAAATGAGGTGGGTCAAACATCGCAAAGATAATATTGTCACCATGCTTGAAAAAAGGCCTCTCTACAGTAACACCTAAGTTTTTCATGCATTTTACATTAGATGCTCCCATATCACAAACTGTAGCCACGACCTCAACTTTTGCAATATTTTTCGCAGCTTTAAGAACTTGAAACAAGCAATGTTCCAAATTGTTCGCATTACACCCATTGTTTGCAAAGAAGTATGCTACGGGTTGCTTCCAATTTTTTGCTAGCCCTACTAGCCTAAACAATAAGGCTTTATTGGCGGGTTTACTAGATGTTCTTCCACCGAAATCTTCGAATCCGAGAATGTTGTGGCTGCCAAAATCATATTCAATGTTCTCTTGAATATCCATCTCATCGAATCGAAAGTCCATCTTCTTCCTTTCGACCCTTTGCTTTTTGAGCATCTAATTTGAGCCAACAGAAAATTGGAGGTCAATGATGGCATGTCT